GCCAGCAGGTGAGTGCACATGCGCGGTGGAGCTAAGCTGGGGTGACAGCTCGCATGCCTGTAGAGAGGGCTCTACATGCCACCTGTGGCACGCGCGCCATAGGTTCATCATCACAGACCTATACTATTTCAGATAACTGACTGTCCAGTCTCTTTTTAAAAACCTGCAGTAATGGAGTGCTCACAATTTCTGGTGGCAAGCTGTTCCACTGGTTAATTGTCTGCTAGGAAATTTCTCCTTAATTCCAGGTTGCTTCTCTCCCTTAGTTTCCAAACATTGTTTCTTGTCCTGCCTTCTGGTGCTTTGGAGACTAATTTGACCTTGACTTACGACCGCAATTGAGCCCAAAATTCCTGTTGCTACGCAAGTCAGTTGAGAAGTCAGCTCTGGCCCTCTTTACAACCTTTCTTTCCGCAGTTATTAAGTGAATCATTGCACTTGTTTATTCAGTCACACGGCTGTTAAGCAAATCTGGCTTCCACACTGACTTTGCTTTCCAGAAGATTGAAAAAGGTGATTTCATGCCTGCAGGCTCTGCAACCATCATCAATGGTCGTAAGTGTGAAAAAATGGTCGTATGTCCATTTTTCAGTGCTGCCGTAACTTCAAACCATCCCTAAATGAATGGTTGCAAGCCCTAGAAAGCTAGCAATGACAAACTTATTTTTGAAAATCTTGGCCAAAAAAACTGCAGGGACTTCTCCAGACATGAGCGAATGGAAGAAAATAATAATAATTCCAGAGAATATTACAATGCGGTAGACTTTATGGAAAATAAAACAAGAGGTTTTTTTTTCAATTCCACAGATTCATGTTGGTGAACCTATGGCACACGTGCCCAAAGTGGCATGCGGAACCATGTTGGCTGGCATGCGCGGCGTCGCCTGTTCCTCTACTGGGTTTTTGACGATCTGCTGTTTTTTGCGTGTGCGGCAGTGCCGGAAACCGTTCCGTTGTCTTTCCATTTCCATTGTGTGCATGCATGCTGGCCAGCTGATCAGCGCATGCGCACCAGTAACTGGGAGATAAGCTGGCTGCTGCGCAGGCCAGGAACCAAAATTTCTTTTCCTGGTGCATGCATGCCCACTTGGCAGGTTGTCTTCTGGGGCGCGTCCCAAACAAGCACATTCGGTGCCAAAAAGGTTTGCCATCACTGCTCTAGATAGATTTTCATTCAAAACCTCAGCCATAGCAATTTCAGCCGTCAACTTTCCTTGAACACATCCATTTCATTTTTTTTTATTATAACAATGATCCAAGGAGGTACCTTCTAAAATAAATGCTGGGTATTGTTTTTTTTCCCCCAAGAGGGAAGAAACAAAATTGTTCACCTTGTAAAAATCAGAACTGGCTAAAATGTTTTTCCCCCCCATATTTTTTTGTAACGTTGATGTTATTTTTGGTAAAGCATAAAATGCAAAATTGTATTCAGTTCGGATGTAAACTGTAAATGCTTTGTAAATGTACATCAAACCTTGGCAACATTTTTACACAGGGTGGATAAAAATTGATTTTTCAAAAAAAATCAGATTTTTTAAAATTTAAATTGGATTTTTACACAAGGTTTTTTTTTTTACCAAATTTATTTTAATAAAATGCTTTTGGAGTAAAAAATCTATCTAAAGATAGTTTTCTATTTAAGATACATTCATAATTTAGTTTATTCAGCATGAAATGGAGTTTCGTTTTGTAGCATGAGGGTGTATATTCTGAGTCAACAGCAGGTCAGAGGAGGAGCCGCTGCAGGATAGAGATAAAGAGTTGCTCTTTAAAAATTATGATTTAAATCGAGTTGATTCAAATCAAGCCTTTTTACTAGGGATTTAAAACAAATCCAGGCTTTAATATCATTGTATCCTCTGCCAACCTTCTACAGGGGCCAATTAGCTTCATCCAGTGGTGAGATTCAAATTTTTTTACTACCAATTCTATGGGCATGGCTTGGTGGGTGTGGCTTAGTGGGTGTGGCTTGGTAGGCGTGGCAGGGGAAGGATACTGCAAAATTCCCATTTCCTCCCGATCAGCTGGCACTCGGGAGGCAGAGAATAGATGGGGGCAGGGCCAGGCGGGGGTAGTATTGACCGGTTCTCCAAACTACTCAAAATTTCTGCTATCGGTTCCCCAGAACTGGTCAGAACCTGCTGAATATCACCTTTGGCTTCATCACTTTCATACAGCAAGTCCTTGAGCTATGACCATCATGGACCAGCCTGTCCATTATGGTCGCGTGTCATGGCAAACTCACTGGAAAAAATATTTATGTCCACTTTTCACACTTACAACCATTGCAGCATTCCCCATTGTCACGTGATCCAAATTTGGATGTGACTCATATTCTGCAGAGTCCCAGGAGACGGGGTGTCACATGATCCCCATTTGCGACCTTCTGACAAGCTGTCAATAGGGGAAACCAGATTCGTTTAACAATCCTGTGACTAAATGAACAACTGCAGTGATTCACTTAACAACTGTGGAAAAACAGGTCGTAAAATGGGACAAAGCTCCCTTAACCGAGGCGCAGGGGTTGGAACGCAGTATTGGAAGGCCAATTCTGCCACCTGATTGTTGGGCTGAGGATGGAGCCCCAAATTTACATTGCTAAGTGAGAAATTAGTTCAGTGGGTTTCGGCTCCCATTTTACTACTTTTCTTGCCGCGTTTGTGAACTGAACCACTGCAGTTGTTACACTGAGTCGCGGGTTGGTTAAGTGAATCTGGTTTCCCCAGGGGCTTTGCTTGTGATCATGTGACCCTGAAACCCAGCAACCATCATAAATGTGAGTCAGTGGTCAAGCATCTGAAAGTAATTCTCGTGACCGCAGGGATACCACAATAGTCGTAAGTGTGAAACATTCCATTTTTTTCAGTGTAACTTCGAACGGTTACTAAGTGAACTGTTCTAAGTTGAGGACTACCTGTACTGTATCCCAAGCATTTTGGATTCAGCGCAATCGGATCTTTCCATAAGACAAGAGCCCCTCTAAATAGTTCTCTTTCTTTACTCTTGGGGGAGAACAGCCCACTTCTGATGGAGAAGGGATTAAACTTTTAACTCTTCTATGTTCTTCTTTTTTTAGAAGAAAATTATTTAGCAGAGACAGCACTGTGGCCTCTGCTTAGTTCCAAACAACAACACAGCTGGAAGGAAGGTTGTGGGAAGGAGATTTCAGGCACAAAACTATGTTAATTACTATTATTGCATTTTCAAAATACAGACATCTTGCCGAGGGAGGCCTGGCTACAGCCTATTGTATTGTGGCCGTACAGTTCTCCGAACAGCAAAGAAAACGTTGCATCCAGTGCAGCCTCTTCTGATAGAAAAGGCTTGGAGAAAGAAAGAAAGAAAGAAAGAAAGAAAGAAAGAAAGAAAGAAAGAAAGAAAGAAAGAA